ATCAAATTGGTCTTAAGCTTTCCAACATATGTAAAGCACTTCTTCCTAAAGAATTTGCTATTACTAGTATTAATTCAATATGCAAAAGATCTTTTTTATACTTTAAAGCTGCACTTTATCACATCCATACTTGCACTATCAAAAATTGCACTACTCTACCCAAAGACACTGAACATAATGTTAAAAATTTATCTATACTCTTCTTCAAAGAATCATTTAATCACTTTCCTGCTCCTTCTAAAACTACTTCTACAATATTCAAAATTGTATATACACATTCTGACCTTGACTTCTCTATATTTGACAAGGATAAACAACATGCTGCAATATTTCAAAAATCTACTCCAATTCCTTTTCTATACAAACTTGCTATTGAGACTGAAGAGAAATTTATGGAGCTAAATAAAGTAGTAATAGACTCTTCTTGTAAAAGTACTATTATTATAGCTACCTTAATGCTGCTAAAAATAATCAAATTGACAATCTCTATCTTCAGCAAGCAATTGATAAAATTACTAACAAGCCCATCATAACTGACTACCTTGCCCGAGTTCTTACTTATTTTCATATTCTAAAAACTGGAGATAAACTTTCAATTGTATATATTAAAAAAGTTTACAAAGAAACTTTCTTTTCTCAAGCACAAGATATTATACACACCAAGTTTAAGATTAATTTCAAAACACCAAAAATTTCATCAAACATCTTTTTCTACTCTGGAACTACCAGCCTACCCAAATTCTCTACTTTACAATATTCCAAAAATACTACCAATCAAACATCTACATCTAAGTCTAACCAAGACCAAATATCTTCTTTTAAACTTAATAAAGATGATAATGATGTTATTATGACAGATTCAAATGATGATTCTACTGTTAATACAAATAACCAAACTACTGATAATAAAAACTCCAACCCCAACAAAAACTTATAACAAAACCCTCAACTCATTACTACTCTCTCATATAATCTTTTTCAATAATTCCTTCTGTAGATTTCATTGAAGCAGCTACCACTTCTGAAATAATAATGTCCTTCACTTTTAGTAGGCCTTTCTCAGAAAAGAATGATGTAAGTGGATGGGTGGTTAAGTCTATTTATACAGAGGACCAGGCTAATAACAGTCAGACCAAATGTACATAGCAGACTATGAAACCCTTTGCAGCTGTGAGAACCAAGCTTAAACTGGTAAGCGCATCTACAGAAGGACATTAATCTAAATTATTACCAATATTATCCAACTTCTATGATTTGGAAATATGCTATAACAAATTTCTTACTACTACCAACTTTCTTTATTAAGAAAACACAAACTGTTAATTCTTTTTTACAACATTTATGACAAAACAATGTTAACTATTTAGCAGATTATGCTTTTATTACTGTTCACAGTAATAAAAGTGAAGCACATATGTATTTACCATATAAATACAATATACTACCAAACTACTATACTCTATCTGCCAATGATTCATATAATATTCTTCTTAAATCACAATCCAATACACCTATCTTTTCATATACCTATTCTCCATCAGTAGCTTCTGAATCAAGTTCTAATGAACTTGAGTCTCTACTTTCTGATCTATTTACATTTTTGCAAGACTCTAACCAAAACATTTCTAATTCATCCACCTTACCGATATTACCTAGAGACCAAGAATTTATTAGCAACCCTTATAATCAATATCCTAACCAAATTAGAGACCTACATCTCAATATCGCAACACATAATGTTTGAGGCTTTAACTTAATCACCAAAAGAGAAGCTTGGCAACACTACTGCCTTGATCACAATATTCATATTGCCAGCATTACTGAAACTAAAA